TTCCCCCCACCCCCACCCCTGCAGGAGGGACAGACCTCCTCTGCCACCTCAGGAAAACCAGAGAGCTCCGAGGGCAGCTGTTGTTCATGCGCTGCACCTGGGAGCCCTCGTGGCCTGTGGCTGGCGTGTGGGCACTCAGAAGCCCTCGAACCCAGGAGGGCGCCTGTGGACAGTCCCGGCTCGTCCTCAGTGGGAAGAAGAGATCAGCCAGACAGAACCTGAGTGAATCAATGTCATGTTCACGTGGAAGACAACAGACAATATCCAACATGTTCTAAGACAGCACTTCTAGGCAAAGGGCAGGCGTGGATTCCTCGTGGGCCTGCTCTAAACCAGTCTCTCTAGAACAGCGACCCAAACGAGCCTACGGAAACCCCCAAACCGAACGTCACAGCCACAGACATCTGCAAATCAAACGAGACACTGGATGTTGACTTTAACATATAAAAATACTATAACAAAATGAAATACAAATATATATTAGAATCTGTTAAGTATTCTGTATAAAGAGATACTTTCGTGGTTAGGCTAACAGCAGGCAATGAGAGACGAGTCCGGCCTTCTCCACCTCAGACTCGGGGAGGCTCGGGACTCCCCTGCTGCGTCTCTTCAGCAGTGCGTGTTGAGTGGAAACAGCAATGGCGACATCGATGTGAACTGAAGGTCTTCACCAAAGGGGAGGTGTGGAGATGACTTCTCAGACAGATGATTTCGGGGTAGCCGCCTGGGACTCGATGGTAGCAGGCAAGATGCGTGGCGACCCAGGGCCTTCCCGACCAGCAGGTGGGTGGCTAAGCTGAGGAAACTTGGTCCTGGGGTGGGTGCAGGGCTCTCTTAGCTCCTGGCTGCCTCACCCTTGTGGTGGCTCCCAATCTTCCAGCTCCACCAAGGGTGAGTGTGGGGCTGGGCTGGGCATTGAGGAGGGGTCAGCGGGGCTAGCAGCAAGCTCACCCTCTGCCCTCCACACCCCACGGCGCTGGGCCTGCAGGGCGGTCGCCATCACCTGTCTGCAGGTGTCCTTTCTACTTCCTGCCAAGTAGAGAGGCCCCTGCAGTCAGGGCCCCTCGAGCCGAGGAAGCTGCTTCTCCAAGGCAGGAAGGAATGGCGGTGGCAGGGGAAGGGCCGGGGGTGGGGGAACACCTCTGTTCCCTGGAAGGAACAAACCAGCTGCACTGGAACTTTCCTGCCACCCAGCCTGGTGCTAGCTCTTCAGATTCCCCCAGTGGCCGCCCAGAAACTCCAGGTAAGAGGGTTGCTCTGCAGCGAGGCCCACGCTGCTGTCCACAGCGGGCAGGGCACGGTGGCCTTGCTCAGAGCTACAGGAATATAGAGCCCAGGCCAGGTGAGGCGCAGACCCAGCCATGCTGGCTCCTCCCCACTTGGGAGGGTCCTCTGCCCATTACAGGGGTCCCCAGACTCAAACTCCCCCAGCTACCATGGTGGTGGAGGACACCATGTGTGTGTGCAGTGCCAGGCACACGCCACCCCAACTCTGCCCACACTGCCCCACCCCTGCCTTCTGTCTGCAGATAGAAGGAGCCAGGAAAAGGGTGTGCCCCCTCCTTGCCCACTGGATTCCCCAGGGGTACACTGTCCTGGGGAGACCTCTGGACCAGAGAGTGGCCTGTCTTCCTTCCAGCCAACTGCCTATTTAGGCTCAAAGATCATCTCTACGCTGTCGTTCTGCGGGGAAGAGAAGCATCCGCAGTCAGTCCCTTATTCAGTGACTGCGAAGAGGAGTCCTTCCTTGCGGAAGCCTCTGGCGCACAGCTCCGGCCGGGCCGTGTCTGCGGTTGGCGCCCTCGCTGGGCTCCCTCTCTCCCCGGCACCCTGGTCACCGCTGTGGTACTCGGTGATCAGTCGGCAGGTGTCCACGAGGGCAGAACCCAGCCCCGGTACCCAGCCCCGGTCAGGCACACAAATACTCGATGTAATTGATGAAAATGGATCTTCTAACTCCTGGGGCCTCCCTCCTGGAGCCACAGTGGGCGGGCCTCCGTTGCTTGAGTCGTCTGTCCTACCTCTCCATCTGAGAGGGAGGAGACTGAGGCCCATGGGGGAGAAATTTGCCAGAGCGACAGAGCCAGCAGTTCCTGATGCCTGGGCCGCTGTTCCCACCTGGTCTGCAGCGTGAGGGGCTCTGGACCCCGTCTCCTCAGGAGGAGACCCTCCCTGGCCAAGCAGCCTAGCCCAAGCCCCTACACCCTGCCCCCCACCCCCCCCAGTGACTCGCCAGCAGCAGGCTGATGGCTGGGGAAGCCCAGGACCAGGGCCCTTGGGTGGCTAGTGTCTGAAGGTGGGTGGCAGTGTCTACTCTGCTGAAACCAAGAACGCCCTGTCCTTTTCGGTGGGGTCCCCACCCCAGGAAGTTCCAGTGACCGTTTCCTCCACATGAGTACCCTCCTCGAAGCTACAATGATCATCACATAACTTTAGGATTCAGAGGTCTGATCCCAAGACCGGCTTCCACCCCAGGCCTCGTTCCTGAGGTGCTCTGCCTGCCAACCAGCCCAGGGGCAAGGGGCAGTCCCTTCCTGGCCAGCAGGAGGGGCCCTTCCCCTCCGCAGCCTGGCCTCCTGCCCGCCGACAAGCAGCAGAGCCAGGCCGGGAGTCCTTCAGGGTTCTCTGCAGGGGCAAGGGGTTCTGGGGCCAGCATGGGCTGCAGACACGAGGGACAGGCTGGTTTGGGAAGGGGCAGTCCCTTCTTCAGAGCCAGGTCACAAAGGGCAAGGAGGGAGTGTCACCATTCTGCACTTCTTGGCCTGACCTCACGCACATATTCATTCAACAGTATTTATTAAGCGCCTCTTTGTGCAAGGCACTTCCGGGAGGGCGGTCTGCAGCCAGGCCTCGCCCACCCGCTCGGCCCCCAGCTGCTCGAGTTCGGCTTGAGAAAAGCTGCCTGGCCCCTGAGAGGTGGGCCCCAGCCTGCCCAAGAGGGTCCAGCCATCCAGGAGCCGCCCGGCAATGGCCCGACCCCAGCCCAGGTCTCCTGGTGGCCAGGCTTCTCGCCAGCCCCCTCCCCGTGGGCACTGGGCGCTATGCACAGAGGGCACAGCCACACTTGGTGGGCTTCTCCACCTCCTCAGCGAAGGAGGTCCCGTCGCTGCACTCGAAGGTGAACTTCCTCCGCTTCAGCCGCAGGCCCTGGCAGCAGCCCCGGCCCGGGCAGGAGCCCCGGCACTCCACCCACGACAGCGGGCGCGTGGTCTGGCAGATGGCATAGCCCCTCTGGACCTGGTGAAAGTCCCGGACAGGGTCCCCCCGGCACTCGGACTCTGGATGGGACAGATACCAAGAGAAAGCCTCAGGGCACAACTATGGGCCAGTTCTGCCCCCTGGGAGGCAGGAGGAGAAAGAGGAGGAGCGAGGGGAGCGGGGGAGGCGGAGGGCAGCATCCGCGGACGGTCCTCTAGCTCTTAGAGCCCACCTTGGCCCCAGCATCCTCCCTGCCCACCATGCACATGCACAGCTTCCTCCCGGGCCACCGTGAGGTCAGTGGGAAGGAGGGACTTTCTAGCTGCCCGGGCCTCCAGCACAGATGCAGCTGACAGGCTCTGGGGGGTGCGGGGGGGGGCACCCCGCTGCTGCAGGAGTGCAAGAGGCTGGAGGCCTGGGAGGCAATAATGTTGGAGAAGGAATTTGTGCTGGGAGGGTGTGGCCTCGGGACCCTAAAGTGCCTGAGTTCTGGATTCCTCAAGACACCCTCCCTCCCCCCAAGCGCTCTCTATTCCAGCAGAAGCATCTTAATCACGAAGACAAGGCCTGGGAAGGAGTCCCCAACCCTCAGACTTCTGCTGCTCCTGGGTCCCAAGGTGATGGGGCCACGATGCAGAGATCTGGGCAGGAGCTGTTATCAGGATCTCGTCTGTAAGGAGAAATCCCAGCCAGAGGGGCACTTACCCCAGATACAGGGCTGCAGGAAAAGCTGGACCAGGGAGAGATGGGGGCCCTGTGTGAGGGGGACTTGGAGCCCAGAGAGCAGGGTGCGGGGGGGGGGGGGGTACTAAAGCCCCATAGCAGCCTAAGGTGCAGGAAGGGCAGGGGCACAGAGGGGTTGCTGAGGTTGAGAGGAAGAAAAAACCAAGTTGCTAAAGCCAGTCGTGGGGAGGGACCCTGGAGAGGTCACATCAGGAGGGGGGCCCCTGACCTTGCTCACAAAGCTCGCCTGAAAAGCCAGGGTCACACACACAGTGCGCCCCCTTGGTGGCCGAGGCCTGGCAGTGGCCGTGCAGGCACTGCAGGCCCCCACACGGCTCTGCGGGGGCCCCGGCCTGGTTGCACAGGGCCCCCGAGTACCCCTCTTGGCACTGGCAGCTGTAGGAAAGGGCATCGAGGGGCACGCACTTCCCGTGGACACACCTGGAGAGACAGAGAAAAACACTCTGAGGACAGGCAGAGCCCAGGCAAGGCCCACCCAGGGCGCCCCACCCCCAGCCTTGGCGTCACGGGTGTTAGCCCGGTCCCAAGATGGAGACATTTGCTTCCCGAGGAAGCAAAATGTGAGTCTGTGCTTGTCCCTACAGACCTTTCCTGTTCATAAAAATAGAAACCCAGAAAAATGTAATGAAACCCTGCTAGGCCACATGTTCTGATCTTGGGCGTGAAAGCTATTCTCTTTCCTCACCACAGGGAATGGGAACTTGCAAGGAAGGGAAGGGAACCTGCAGGTGGGCAAGGGGTGAGGGCTCCCTGAGCCCAGCGTGGGCTCACTTGTGGCCATGACAGGGGCCGTCAGCTGGCTGGTCGCAGTGCAGGCCCCCCCAGCCGGCCTCGCAATGGCACACAGGCCCGGGGGTGGCGTTGGGCTGGCAGATGCCATGCAAGCAGAAGAGCTTCCGGCAGGGCTCGCAGCCCGGCACCACGCCCGGCTTCATCCGTGTCTTGGTGAAATCCTGCAGTTCATTGTTGATGTACAGGTTTCGGATGCACCCGTGGAAGCTGGTGCCATTGAGGATCTGCCACAGGCGGAAGGCGGCCGAGTTCACGTCCACCGGCATCCCTGGGTGGTGGGGAGGGGGCAGACTGAGCGAGCCAGGCTTGGGCGGTGCCCGGCACCTCCCTCTGAGGTCTGTGGGCACCTGCACAGTGTTCCCTCTTGCCCGTGGCCTCTGTCCTGTCTCTGCAACCCTGGACCAAGGTCCTCTGCCACCGTGAAGGGTGCAGACTCCTTCCCCCAAAGAAAAGGAAAAGCCGCCTTCCCGTGGCCAGGGCTGGGTGCTAGCCTGGCCGCAGCCAGCTGACCCGTGAGGCCCGGGTGCCTCAGTCTGGCTGCGCTCGCCCAGGCTTCCTTCCTTCCCTCTGGGACACCTGTTCTTACCTCCCAGAGGCCCCAAAGGCAGCAAAGGACTGGGACCTGGAACTCGGGTGAATGGTACTTTGTCACCTGCTTTTGTGGTCACCACTCACAGCAACCCTCCGAGGTAGGAGCTGCTAAACCCCATTGGATGCTCAGTGCTCAGTGACTTGCCCGAAGTTGCACAACTAGTAAACCCCAGGTTCTCATCCCTCCCACCTGCCCACTCTCTAGGCCAGGCCCTGCACAGCACTGAGACGACCCTACTGCCTCCGGCAACCGCTCTCTGGACCTGGAAATGTCCGCAGGTGGTGGACAGGGCCAGTTAGCTGCAAAGCCTGGAAGGCCAGCTGGGCACTCCCCAGCTCATGCGGGGACCTGGGCCTGGGCCTCCGGCAGCAGCTCTGGGCCTCTGATGGACCCTGAACATTGAACAAGCCCCTTCTGGCCCAAAGCCGAGAAGAAAGATGCCTACGGTGTAGAGGACGGCCGGGGGAATTCCAGCACGCCCCATCCCTCCCCTCCCCCGCCTGGGCCAGGCCTCCGTCCCCACGCAGGCACTTCTCCTCCCTCGTTAGTGTGGGCTGGGGGTAGCAGCCTGGCTCCTGGCAAGGGAACACAATCCACCTGCAGCTGGGCCGGTCACTAGACCCTCCCCCACCATCTTCGATGTTCCCCACAGTCCTGTGCCCTGGGCCCCGCCCCTGGCCAGAGAGCAGGAGGGCCCCACCTGGAAAGGCTATCACCACCCCGCAAAGGAGAGGCCTGGGGTGGGGCAGGTCCTCACCTCCCACGTAGAGGGGGGCCTCGCTGTTCAGTGTGTAGTGCTTGCCGAAGTTGTCCATGGTCATGGGACTGCCGCCATCGATGGAGAGATTCACCATCTGGTCGAAGGTGACCAGCTCCACAGTGTGGAACTGCCCGTCGTTGATCGTCTCCGCACTGGAAGAAGATGGGGTGCCCCCACCCCAGAGGATGAGCTTCAGTTGGGCCCATCCCTTCCTGGACACCCTGCCATGGGTCCAGCAGCTGCTTCCTAAGGGACCACATCTCTCAGGGGGAGACTGGGACTGGGGGCTATGGCCCAGCCTCTCCTGCTCCCTGGGGAAAGCTGAGACGTTTGGGGCAGGTGTTTTCAACCTAATCGGTCTCCTCCTCCCACCCAGGAGCAGCGGGGGGGGGGGGTGTACTAAAGCCCCATAGCAGCCTAAGGTGCAGGAAGGGGCAGGGGCACAGAGGGGTTGCTGAGGTTGAGAGGAAGAAAAAACCAAGTTGCTAAAGCCAGTCGTGGGGAGGGACCCTGGAGAGGTCACATCAGGAGGGGGGCCCCTGACCTTGCTCACAAAGCTCGCCTGAAAAGCCAGGGTCACACACACAGTGCGCCCCCTTGGTGGCCGAGGCCTGGCAGTGGCCGTGCAGGCACTGCAGGCCCCCACACGGCTCTGCGGGGGCCCCGGCCTGGTTGCACAGGGCCCCCGAGTACCCCTCTTGGCACTGGCAGCTGTAGGAAAGGGCATCGAGGGGCACGCACTTCCCGTGGACACACCTGGAGAGACAGAGAAAAACACTCTGAGGACAGGCAGAGCCCAGGCAAGGCCCACCCAGGGCGCCCCACCCCCAGCCTTGGCGTCACGGGTGTTAGCCCGGTCCCAAGATGGAGACATTTGCTTCCCGAGGAAGCAAAATGTGAGTCTGTGCTTGTCCCTACAGACCTTTCCTGTTCATAAAAATAGAAACCCAGAAAAATGTAATGAAACCCTGCTAGGCCACATGTTCTGATCTTGGGCGTGAAAGCTATTCTCTTTCCTCACCACAGGGAATGGGAACTTGCAAGGAAGGGAAGGGAACCTGCAGGTGGGCAAGGGGTGAGGGCTCCCTGAGCCCAGCGTGGGCTCACTTGTGGCCATGACAGGGGCCGTCAGCTGGCTGGTCGCAGTGCAGGCCCCCCCAGCCGGCCTCGCAATGGCACACAGGCCCGGGGGTGGCGTTGGGCTGGCAGATGCCATGCAAGCAGAAGAGCTTCCGGCAGGGCTCGCAGCCCGGCACCACGCCCGGCTTCATCCGTGTCTTGGTGAAATCCTGCAGTTCATTGTTGATGTACAGGTTTCGGATGCACCCGTGGAAGCTGGTGCCATTGAGGATCTGCCACAGGCGGAAGGCGGCCGAGTTCACGTCCACCGGCATCCCTGGGTGGTGGGGAGGGGGCAGACTGAGCGAGCCAGGCTTGGGCGGTGCCCGGCACCTCCCTCTGAGGTCTGTGGGCACCTGCACAGTGTTCCCTCTTGCCCGTGGCCTCTGTCCTGTCTCTGCAACCCTGGACCAAGGTCCTCTGCCACCGTGAAGGGTGCAGACTCCTTCCCCCAAAGAAAAGGAAAAGCCGCCTTCCCGTGGCCAGGGCTGGGTGCTAGTCTGGCCGCAGCCAGCTGACCCGTGAGGCCCGGGTGCCCCAGTCTGGCTGCGCTCGCCCAGGGTTCCTTCCTTCCCTCGGGGACACCTGTCCTTACCTCCCAGAGGCCCCAAAGGCAGCAAAGGACTGGGACCTGGAACTCGGGTGAATGGTACTTTGTCACCTGCTTTTGTGGTCACCACTCACAGCAACCCTCCGAGGTAGGAGCTGCTAAACCCCATTGGATGCTCAGTGCTCAGTGACTTGCCCGAAGTTGCACAACTAGTAAACCCCAGGTTCTCATCCCTCCCACCTGCCCACTCTCTAGGCCAGGCCCTGCACAGCGCTGAGACGACCCTACTGCCTCCGGCAACCGCTCTCTGGACCTGGAAATGTCCGCAGGTGGTGGACAGGGCCAGTTAGCTGCAAAGCCTGGAAGGCCAGCTGGGCACTCCCCAGCTCATGCGGGGACCTGGGCCTGGGCCTCCGGCAGCAGCTCTGGGCCTCTGATGGACCCTGAACATTGAACAAGCCCCTTCTGGCCCAAAGCCAAGAAGAAAGATGCCTACGGTGTAGAGGACAGCCGGGGGAATTCCAGCACGCCCCATCCCTCCCCTCCCCCGCCTGGGTCAGGCCTCCGTCCCCACGCAGGCACTTCTCCTCCCTCGTTAGTGTGGGCTGGGGGTAGCAGCCTGGCTCCTGGCAAGGGAACACAATCCACCTGCAGCTGGGCCGGTCACTAGACCCTCCCCCACCATCTTCGATGTTCCCCACAGTCCTGTGCCCTGGGCCCCGCCCCTGGCCAGAGAGCAGGAGGGCCCCACCTGGAAAGGCTATCACCACCCCCCAAAGGAGAGGCCTGGGGTGGGGCAGGTCCTCACCTCCCACGTAGAGGGGGGCCTCGCTGTTCAGTGTGTAGTGCTTGCCGAAGTTGTCCATGGTCATGGGACTGCCGCCATCGATGGAGAGATTCACCATCTGGTCGAAGGTGACCAGCTCCACAGTGTGGAACTGCCCGTCGTTGATCGTCTCCGCACTGGAAGAAGATGGGGTGCCCCCACCCCAGAGGATGAGCTTCAGTTGGGCCCATCCCTTCCTGGACACCCTGCCATGGGTCCAGCAGCTGCTTCCTAAGGGACCACATCTCTCAGGGGGAGACTGGGACTGGGGGCTATGGCCCAGCCTCTCCTGCTCCCTGGGGAAAGCTGAGACGTTTGGGGCAGGTGTTTTCAACCTAATCGGTCTCCTCCTCCCACCCAGGAGCACCCTGTGAGGTGGTTGTGGGAGGGGAAGGACCCGCGCTGGGCTGTACTCGATGGTTCAAATGCCTGCTCCTCTCGGGCAGCCCAGGTTCTGGTGGTTTCATTAATGACCTGCTTTTGGCCCAGGAGACCCCTGAGAGCGGCCGACGGGCCTGAGGAAGCCCCACCTGTAGATGGCAGAGCTGGGGTAGCTGCCAGGGTCGTAGCTGACACGCACATGGCCCTGGTACAGCTCCACGGCGATGTGGTCATTGTCCCCGTTGTACAGCAGGATCCCGTTGTCCTCTGCCGTGGAGACCTGATGAGCAAGGGCACTGTCTCTCCAACCCCATCCCCCGCAGCAGCAGCACAGGCTGGTAGGCGGAGCACACGGGGGCCCCCATCGGAAGAGAGATGCTGTGCAGAACTGCCCTCCCCTGCCTGCCCAGGTGACATGGTAGCCCCGGGTTTAAATCCTATCCAATGACAGTGTGGCCAGGGCCAGGCAGCAGAGGGCAGATGGGCCAGCTGAGGCCTGGAAACTACATCCCAGGAGGGGCAGGTAAGAGCCCTTCAGACCACCTGCTCGGGGAAGACAGGCAGACGGGCTGTGGGGCAGCCGCTCTGTGGGCCTCGGGGAACTGCCTTGGGGGTGGGGGCGGGGGGGCCCCTCCAGAGAGGACACGTTCAGGAAGGCTCTCTGACAGCCAGAGCCACCCAAACCTGGAAGGAACTGCTCAAGAGGTAGATGTTTAAGACATAAAATGGCAAAATAAGGGACCATGAGGACTTGTGGTTAAAGACATAAGCTGGGAGTTAACCTGGCCGTGCTCCAGGCACATGAAACAAAGCCCATCGCGCATTGGAGGTGAAGCGAGGAGTCGTTGAGACAAGAGATGGTGGGACAGGGTCCTGGTAAGCTTGGTTTTCTGGATCTAGTCGCCCATGAGACCACCTCCCCCTCCTGCCTCTTCTTTGAGATTGGATTTATATGCCAACAACCTTTCCAATTCTGCTTAAACGACTTCAAGCTGAGATGCTGACACCCACATCCAAGACTCTGACCGACACAGGGGCCTCCCCACTGTCCTGGGCAGGGACGTGTCTTGAATCTCTGACCTGAGGCCAGGGCCCCCCGCCGCCTGACCCCCCTCTGTGACCGGCGCCCTGGGCACCCACCTGCAGGGTGATGTTGGCCCGCGGCCAGTTCTGCAGGTCCGTGAACTGCAGGTACGTGTCCCGGTCCACGAAGTTGACACTGAGCAACTTCTCACACTCGGGGCCGCCGAAGCCCGGGAGGCACTGGCACACGGGCCGGCTGCCCTGGTCCACACAGTGGGCCCCGTTCTGGCACTCAGTCCCCTCGCAGGGGCTCCTGGGGGCAGCTGGGCGGGGAGGGGTCTCACAGAGCTGTCCACTGGGAGGGAAAGGACGCAGGTCAGACAGGGCAGGGCAAGGGGAAGAGGGCCTCTTCCTCCCCCAGGTCCTGGAGAGAAGCTCACTAAACATCGTGGGAAACTGGATCCTTAAGGCGACAGAAAATGCTGCTAATGAACACTTTTCCCGAGAGAACTAAGGGCCAGAAGGGTGGTGAGAAACAAGTGTGGTCCCTGCACCAGCAACATCGATGTCACCTGGGCAGGTGTCAGAAATGGAAAACCTACTGAATCTGCTCTTTCACACCATGCCAGGTGACTCGTGTGCTCGTTAAAGTTTAAGAATTGCTCGTGTCTCATTTTACAGAAAAGAAAACTGAGACTTAAAACAAGCAAAAGAGGGAAGACTCAAAATAAAGAAAAGAGGGAACATTACTACCAACGGCAGTTCTGATCCAGGCTACAGCAATCTGTAGCATTAGTATCCACAATAGCCAAAGTGTAAACAATCCAAATAGATGGATGGATCAACACATGTGGTATAAAAAATCAATAAAATATATATATATTTTAAAAAAGAATTGCTCATGTCTCATTTTACAGAAAAGAAAACTGAGACTTAAAACAAGCAAAAGAGGAAAGACTCAAAATAAAGATGGAACATTGCTACCAAGGGTAGTTCTGATCCAGGCTACAACAATCTGTAGCATTAGTATCCACAATAGCCAAAGTGTAAACAATCCAAATAGATGGATGGATCAACACATGTGGTAGATCCCTACAATGGAATATTATTCAGCCATAAAAAGGAGTGAAGTTCTGCCACCTGCCACCACATGGATGACCCTCAAAAACATGACGCTAAGTGAAAGGCAGTTATAAAGGACCACAGACTGTATACTTCTGTTCATAGGAAATGTCCAGAATAAGCGAATCTATGCATACAGATACCAGCAGATTAGTGGTTGCCTAGAGCTGAGATGGAGGAGACTTGGGGTGACAGGTAAGAGGTGTGGAGTTTCTGGAGTAATGAAGTGTTCTGAAATGGATAGTTCTAAAATGAATGCACAACTCTGGACATATACTAAAAGCCACTGAATTGCACATTTTAATCAGATGAATTGTATTGCATGTGAATTACAGCTCAATAAAACTGGGGGGGAAAACCCAAAAAACCAAAACCCAAGCAGATCATGGGAGGTGGGTGGTCAGAAGGAGGGCAGGTGTCGGTCCCCCCTCCCAACCTCCCAGAGGAGCCAAGACGCAAATGTCAGTGACCTTTATGGCAGGTTGTGACTTCAGAGGCTCCCTGAGCAGTAAGTGAGAGGGCCGTGCCCACTGATCTGTACCCGCCGCCCACTCCCTCCTCCAAAAAGGTTAGGCACCCGCTGCCTGTGCTCTGAGTGGTTAAGCCACTTTCCCAAGGCCACACAGCTGTGACGGGTGACGGTTCAAGCCAGGACCCGACACCCAGGCTCTCACCCTCCCTCCCTCCCACCAACCACGTCTGGGGCTCCTGCCAGCCCCGGGCCCACGGCTAGGAGGAGTCGGGCCCTCGCGGGTGTGCAGGCCTCTCACCTGTAGCCCTTGGCACAGAGGCAGGAGTAGCTGTTCACGTCGTCAATGCACTGGGCCCCGTTCTGGCAGCGGTGGTCCCTGCAGTCGTCCTGGTTCTCGCTGCAGTTGTTGCCCGAATAACCAGGTGCACACTCACACCTGGAGGTGCGAGGCGGGTAGGCAGTCAGCCCCGAGCCTGCGGGGCCCGGGGTCTGTGTGTGACAGACAACCTGGAGGCCCTGGGGTCTATGGGGTCCCCCCGGAGGTCAACCAGAGCCCTGGATATAAAGGTGCCCACGCCTGTCCTGGGGCCCTTTTGGAAGAGCTTGTGCGGTTGGTGGGGCTCTAGGTTGCGGGGTGGGCCCCCAGCAGCAGGAGGAGATGGGAATCTTGTCAGGAAGGACCCAGATTCACCACCAACAGCACATCAGGGCCAAACTGCAGCCCCTTCCGGACCTACCCAGCTGCTCAGCACACGGCTCCCCATCATGGGGCTCATCCTTCCCTCCACCCCAGCTTCCCTAGCTCCACCAGCCCAGCCTCCTGGCCCCAGCGGGGCAGGTGCCCACCTCTCTGCCAGTGTCTGACTCCAAGCCAACCTCCAGCTCCCTGCTTGCATTGTGCCTCACTGCTCACCCCAAAATCCATTCCGGCCAAATATCCAATCCAGTCCTATCAAGTAAAGGGCACACTCCTCCACCCCCTTGCAAGATGCTCAGGCCTTCGCCACTGGCAGCAACCCCCACGCCACCAGCACTCCCGCCTTCACTCCCTTCCCTTCACCCCTGCTGGTTCTGGAATACCCTTTCCTCTCTCCCTGCCTCATTCCGACCAGGCCAAGACCTCACCTCCTCTGAGAAGCCTCTGGTGTCACTGAGCAAACCTTTGCTGGAAACCCTTCCAAACTGCAGACTGCAAATTGCAAACTGAACAATCTGGCAGGTGGGTGCCCCTGCCTGGATTTTTTACTCATTCCCAGTGTTTTTCAGGCTGCAAGAAATACCCTTCTACCAGTACACACACACACACACACACCCACACACACACACACACACCTGAAATCAACACACACACACACACACACACACACACACCCACACCTGAAATCATACTTATCCTTAGTGTATAAAATGGTATGATGCTCTCTGATGTTTTCTGTTTCATTTTTTAAGTTAACCTTGACCTACCCATTAATCACAAGTCACTATTGGGTCTTGAGCAGCAGTCTGAAGACTGTTTCAGTACCTAAGCCACCACCCATTCCTTCATATTCATTCATTCATTCATTCATTCATTCATGCATTCATGCATTCATTCAACGAATGTACTGAATAACTTACTGGGTTCCAGGTACAATGCCAAGCACAGAGGAGCATCTGTCCATTTTTCCTCCAAAACAGGAAGTTGAGAGAACAAGCACCTCCCCCACTGTATGTGTTCACCTGTGCAGTGGGAGGGACTACCCCAGCACAGAGTGCGTGAGTGTGCAGCCTCGCTTTATCCACCTGAGGCCCAGCCTCTCTGAGGAGCGGGCATGCCTCTTGATCTGCCACTGCTCCTTGGTCTCTGTGCCAATCCCACCCGTCTTCCGTGCCAGCTCACCCAGGAAGGCAGGGTGCCCACCGTTTGGACGGAGGCTCCCACGTCGCCTCTCGATCTCACAGCCGGGCCTCTAACATCCCCTGGCTCTCCCTCTGCCCAGGGGCCTCAGCTCCATGGTGACTCCATCCCCCGACCCTGGCCTGAGTGGCTGGGGTTGGGCCCTCAGCCACAGACTACAAGGAGCCCTGCTCTGACTGGTGGAACCAGGGTCCCAGAACTGACGCTATATTTGAAAACTACAGATGGGAGCAACATCCTAAAACCCCATGACCTTCATATCACACACAGTCTTCAGGTGACAAAGCACTTCCATGTATGCCAGTAACAACGACGGAGACAACAGTCAAGAAGCCCTTTTCCTGAGGCCAAACAGGAGGACTTTTAAAAGGTAATACAGTGCCTACAACTGTATATTGTGTAACATGCCAGTGGGATCGAGAGCAGCCCCTCAGTCAAACATGTTCACAGCTCTGCAGCACAATCTACATGGATGGCTGTTGACTGTAGCCCCATATTCTTGTGGTCAGCTTTTATTTTTACTTATTTTGTTAATCCTCACCCGAGGACATTTTTTCATTGATTTTTAGAGAGAATGGAAAGGAAGGGGAGAGACAGAGAGAGAAACATCGATGTGAGAGACACACATTGGCGGCCTCCCGCATGAGATGGAACCTGAAACCAAGGTACATGCCCTTGACCGGAATTGAACCCGGACCCTTCAGTCCATAGGCCAGTGATCTATCCACTGAGCCAAACCAGCTAGGGCTGTGTGTTCTGCTTTTATTACCAAACTAGAGGCCTAGTGCACAAGATTCGTGCACTGGGGAGGTCCCTCAGCCCAGCCTACGCCCTCTCGCAGTCTGGGAGCCCTCAGGGGATGTCTTACTGCCAGGGAGGCTGGAGAAGCTCCCACCACTGCCACTGCGCTCACCAGCCTTGAGCCCTGTGGGAACACACTGACCACCAGGGGGCAGCACCTGCCTTGAGCGTCTGCACCCTGGTGGTCAGTGCACGTCATAGCGACTGGTTGTTCCGCTGTTGGGTCGATTTGCATATTACCCTTTTATTATATAGGATACGTTCAGGTCAGGTCCGATTTTGCTATCAAACCGACTTTTGGTTTTCAGAGTTCTGTGTATTTTGTAACGGGATGAGAAACTGTGGGTCTGGAGTGACAATAGCTATTTATGGAGCATTGATGGGAGGTCAGACATGGAGCTAAGTGCTTTCCACGCATGTGCTCATCCTCTCCTTACCACCACCCAGGAGGAAGCTTCTGGTGCCTCCAGCTCGCAGATGAGAAAACGGGCTCAGAGTGGACAAGCCATCCATTCAAGCTCATGCTGGCAGCAAAGCTGTCCCCTTAACCACTCCCTCACTGACTCACAGGAACCCCACATGGCTGAGACCAAACCCACTTGACAGGTGAGGAATAGGATGGGAAGGGGGTTGGCATGGAGGGGAGGTGACTTGGCAGCCCCTGCCCTTCCCTGGCCCTGGAAATGGGCAACACCTACCTGGGCCCATCCGGGGTGCCCACACACTGGGCCTCGTGCTGACACGGGTTCAAGTCCGGGGAGCAGAAGTCCACCAGCTGCTCACAGGCCCTTCCTGGAGAAAGAACCAGGGAGAGGCAGGAGAGAAGCTGCCCCTCCCCCTCCGCCCTCTGCCAGGCAGTCGCCAGCAGAAACCTCCTGCCGACGCTGAGGCAGGGCCCCAACTGTCACGGGAATGGGGTTCAGGGCATGCACGCTAGCCCTCACCTCCCCACAGACACTCGATGCCCACATACCCGCATACTGCAGGGGGCACTGGCAAGTGTAGTTGCCCATGCCGTCCACACAGATGCCTCCATTGGCACATGCGTGCTCCACACAGTCGTCTGTGTTCACCCCACAGGTCGGTCCTTCAAAGCCAGCCGGACAGGAGCACCTGGGGCAGGGGAGGAGGGAGAGGAAGGTGGGCCCATGGTCACTGGCCAATATCATCCCAGAGTTGTGGTACCTACTCACGGCCAGGCCCTCGCTGGATGCCGGGGGTTAAAGGTGAACAAGACCAGCCCTGCACTTATGGACTCACAGTCTAGTGGGGAGATGAGGAGGAGACGCAACCAGAGGAGAGGCGGTGAGTATCGGGATCGTGCAGCACAGAGGCCAGTGAGGGGGAACAAAGGGGCAGCACCTAGCTCCTCCTTGGGGGAGTGGTCAGGGTGGGCTTCCTGGAGGAGATGATGGTTAATCAAGGACCCTGACAGGGGAGTGCAGGAATGGGAGGGAAGACAGTGGGGACAGGGCATGTGCAAAAGCCTGGAGAAGACCCTAAAGCCAGCCCTCTGGGAGGGGTCCTGCTCATGCAGGTAGTTCAGGCCTTGGGGAGCACACACCTCAGGGACCCAGTGAGAATGGGGCTGGAGCAAGCTGTGGAGAGCACTGGAGATCAGTGATCTCCAAACCAGGTCCACCCTCCCCGGGGCACCTGGGGCTTCCCAAGGGGCTGTGGGTCAGAGAGGTCTGAGAAATCAACTTCCAGACCTACAAGCTCTGCAGGGACTCTTCCCTGGACTGACCGGCCCCCCGAGCTCCCCAAAAGCACACACACCCCTCCCAGCCCAAGTCCAGGGTGGGACATGCCTGGGGCCTAAAATCCCGGGGCTCCAAATAAAGGGACAATTAGGAATATTGATGTTTTAAAGGTGAAGGAACAAACGGCGTCTGAAAGTCAAACAGTTTCCAGCTCCACGTGTTAAAAATAATTGAAGGAAGGCCTCATGGAACTGTCAGCGGATAGGCATTAAAAATAGCTTTTGATGACATATCACTCTGCGCTTTTTGGCATATAGACTCGGAAGGATTTCAAAGACTTGAGTGACATGGCTATAATAAAACTCCTTCTAATCTCATCTGTTTATTTATGAGAACAAACTTTCTCAGCATTTATAGCTATATATATAAAGCTCTATCTCATCCAGAGATGAGTCTAAAAAATTCTACTTTTATTTGTAATCACTATCAATCAAATGTTGTAATGTTGTTTTGATCGATTGTATATTATTGATAATTGTCATGATCGCTCAATGCAAAAGAAACTTTTAATCAGAGGCAGATGGTCACAAGAAATAAAGAAAAGTTTAAATTTACATTTATATACCCATGTTGGTGGTGCAGACACATGCCGGGTGCTCCAGAAAAGTCTCTCCCAGCACAAAGGCAGATTACATTAGAAAGAAAGTGGGAGGGGGTGTGGGGAGTGAAATGGGAATACTAGTTCAAGAAGAAAAGGCAAATATTTAAACTGTAAAAGAGCAGCTCATTCGTGTAAGTTTTTAATGGTAAATTGCTATGCTGCTCTGGCCGGTGTTCCCAGTGGTTGGAGCATCGGCCCGAACACCGACAAGTGGCAGGTTTGATCCGGTCGGGTCAGGGAGCGTGTGGGAGGCAACCAATTGATGTGTCTCTCTCACATCCATGCTTCTCTCTATCTCTTTCTCTCCCTCCCTCCCTCCCTTCTACTCTAATAATTAATGGATAAAATATCCTCAGGTGAGGATTATCAACAACAAAAAATTGCTGTGCTATTTAGATTACATTGGAGAACAATAAAAGAGTAATAGATTTATTTTTAAATGTTAATATTTACTATATCCCGAAAATGACCTCCTTTACAACAAAAAACTAAACTTACAATGACAAATTTTAGCTGTCAACTAAAAATGTATGAGAACATATATAGTTTTTAAATTGTGTTAGGGGGGGTATGTGAGCAAAAAGGTTTGAAGCCCACGGTTATGGGACATGTCCTGGAGTTTTTTTTCCCCCCCCGCCCCAACACACACATAGATGGGGGTGGGTTGGGGGTGGGGGCAACAGAGGGGTTTTAAGAGGGCTGAGGCGATCAGCTTTGCATTTCTGAGAAGGCTCTTGTAAGCCTCAAGGTTGAGGGGTAACTCAGAGAGGCACCCTCTTTCTACCGGGAGGGAGGGCCCACCCAAAGGCCCCCAATGTGTAGGGCTGCTAGGTGTGAGGGGGGCCATCCCTGCTGTACCCCTCTCTGCCCAGCAGGGGGAGTTTCTGTGGGTGTCCTTTCAGCCCCTCCACTCTCCACAGACATCCCCTCCCAGGAGTCCAGGGAATGAGGCGGCTTTGCTTTGCTTGAACTGCCGCCCAAGCCCAAAGGAGGATGGAGCCTATTGTAAGGACGCCGCTGCCAAGGCAACAATGGCTGAGAGGCCATTTAGTGTTTTCCTTTTATACCTGGTAATTTGGGTTTGCAGAGACAGATTTGGCCATTTCTGCCTGTAAATACAGAGCCAATTTATTTTCAGCAGCTCAATATCAAGTATTTTTCAGAAAAGCTCTGGGTCCAGGAGAGCTCTGGGGTATTCACTGAGGGGTCCTGGGGGAAGCAGGTCAGTGGGGGGAGGGGTGCTTGCATGGTAACGTCAGCACCGGGAGAGCTTGGGATTCGATCCTGAGGGAGGGTCGGCCTTTCACCGGGCCGTGGGAAACTGGCTGCCGTGTGGGTCCAGCGGGACCAGGAGATGGTGTGTGAGGCTCCAGGGGGCAGGCCCAGGACTTGCTCCCACCTCTGGGCAGGCTTCTGTCTTCGGGGCTTGGGGTGGTGGCTTGATTGGAAAGAGCTGGCTAAGGGCCCTGCTTCAGGCAACATTGGCACAACAAGCAGGTATTTGACTTCTATTAAAGGCCTCCGGTTAGCAGAGATTATAGGGGTTTAAAATGTCCCCAAACTGCCCCTTGGCACTGCCACTGCATATGTCCTTGGCCATGGATTCCCAGTGCCATCAAAAGACTGCCTGGCACCTGGCAAGGACAGAGAGTGGCCTGGAGCAGGAGTGGGCAGCTTGGCTCCAGCCCCAGCGCCCCCCCCCCCCACTGGCTCCCACTGCTCTGGGCAACGGGCATGGCTGGTGGGTGTGGAACTGTTTGCAGTGAGTGTTTGCTCCCGCTGCGCCCACCCTCCATCTCCTCCCAGAGCACAGAGGATGGGAAGGGGTGGCCACTCGATTTGGAGGAGGAGGGCAGCCAAGCATGGGTGCTGGGTCCCGTCGGCACCCGCCCCCCAGGTTCTGGCCCCTCCAGGCAACTCACGTGAAGCCAGCATCCTCGCCCTCCTGTTCGTGGCAGGTCCCGCCGTTCTCACAGGGGCCACTGGCACAGCTGTCCAGGGGCACCTCACAGACTCGGCCCTGGGGAGAGAGTCAGGGATGGGGACCCCAGGGGCCCGTGGGAGCCAACAGCCAGCCCCCGCTTGGCAGCGCGGCCTGCCTGTCCCGGGTGTTACTTGTTCATTCGTTCCTTCAAGCGCAGCTCTGGGCAGGACCTGCTCTCAGGGCACTGGGGGCAGATGGGGAACTCGACAGGCCACCCTGCCCTCCAGGAGCAGCCCTCCTCCTCCCGGGCTCACCTCCGCTCAAGCCCCCACTCACCTTATAGCCGCTGGAGCAGGCACACCTGTACCCTTGAAGGGGGTCGTTATGGCAGCTGCCCTGGTTCTGGCACGGGCTAGACAAGCAGGGGTCACACTTGGCCTGGACAGCCAGAGTGGGGGGACCTGCGGCAGGGGGAGGAGGTTCCTATAAGGGGGGAGGCCCAGCTCCCCGCTCCGTACAGCCAGCCTTTCAGCGATGGGAGGTGGGGAGCCCTCTCCCCAAGAAATGGTTGCCATTTCCTCTGAGTCCCGTTCATCCTCCTTTCACAGCCCCCACCATCACCACTAGCCTTTCCTCCTCTGTAAAATGGGGTTAATAACAGCCCCGCCCCATGGGCCATAAGGACTAGATGAGCTAATCCACAGAAAGTGCTAAATGGCTGGTGTGGCCGCCTCAGGAGCATCTGTGTGAGAGCACCATAGTCGCTACTACTGAAGTCCGATGACCTTTTCTGGGTGCCCTACACCCTCTGAGGCGGCCACCCCCAGGCCTGTCACCTGCTAACCAGGAAAGCAAGGGGGGCCCCTCCGCAGGGAGCCACGCGGCTCCACAAGGAGGCCACGCTGAGGAGTGAAAGGTCCATGCGCTGTGAAGCTGATTGTCTCCGAGGCCAAAGCGGAAGGGCCGCTTCCCACCACCTCTCCAGGTCTGAGCACGGCCTTCCCAGCCCTCCAGGACTCACTGGCCGCCTTCCCTGAACTTGGAGGTGGGCGAGGAGCACCTCCTGCCGGGGCATTAGGCCCTCACAAGAACTATCAGGAGGAGCAGCCCGCTAGTTTCCCACTGACGGCACCTCTGGAAGTGGCGAGCTCTCAGCGCTGCTCAAAGGCATGAGCGTGAACAGGACAGAAACACGGCTCGGTAACTGGACGGGGGCGGGGGCTTCTCGGGTGCAGGTGGGACTCTGCTTCTTGATCCGGGGGCTGGTTACCTGCGTGCGCTCAGTTTGTGAAAATCCAGCGAGCCATTCGCTTATGATCTGTGTGCTGTCCTGTTATGCACGTTGTATTTCAATAAAGAGTTTTTAAAAAATAACTTCTCACCAGTACCAACACCACCCAGCTAAATAAATCCTGAGCAAACGTTTCAACATGAGTTGGCCTGCTCCCAACAGCTCAACAGCTAAGCCCATATCGGGCCCTGGGAACGGTTAGCCCTGTGACAGCATCCTGCACGCAGGGTGGCCGGGCCGCCTCATTAACCTACGGCTGTCACTTTCCCTTCCGATGGGGGTCTACGAGCTTGCTGAGGGCAGGGCCCTGGCCCAGGGCCGGCCTCTAGTGTGCACCACCCCCCCCCCCCCCCCCCCAGCCCCCCCGCCC